TTACCATTCTTTGGTATTGGGCTGACCTTTTTTAACAGAGAGTTAACCACCTGAATCTGCATTCATAACCTGTAGGAGAAATAGCGCGATTCTGTACCAAAACACGGCCGCTTTTCATGAGTTCGCGGAAACAGTCAGCTGACACGGTCAAAAGTAGCCTCGACTCCAAGGGCTGCATGTGTGTTCCTTCACTAGGCTGGTTACCGTCCCGTACGTAGTCTCCAGACGTCTTACAGACGTCCTTCGGCCGTAGGGACCGGTAGCGGGTAATGAAATCGGCAGAATTTCTGCCGGTGTTATGTAAATGAGGAAATGATTCCCGCTCAATGCACAAATCAAGCAGGAGCTTATAGAATATTTTGCTTTTTCTTCTTCGTTACCGAAAGTAGCTTCACCATAAATTGTTCATTTATCTAAAATTTAACAAAATAACCATTGATTTGAAATAACTTGCCGCGAAAAGATTATCGACGATAACCATTGAAAAATAAATTGTCACACTGTGATCAAGGGAGGCTCAGCAAGGGAAGGTACTTGCTTTTTATTCGCCTCCCCGCTGAAACGTAATTCATGTTAAGCACTGCTATTGGCCGGACAAAACATGAATATTCAGCATCCAAATTGACAGGACTAATGCACACACTAAACCACGGCTAGCTTCCGGTCCCTAGGACGTGGACAAGTCCAGTTCATTCACCAGTTGAGATCACACAAGGTATGGTGGGAACAAACATGGCGCGGCAAGATCGTACCCATGGAAACGAGGTTGGGTCAAGAGCTACAACGTACCTTTAAAATGATACAGGGGTTACATTATAATTGCCAAACACCCATCAAAAATATTCATCCGCTGCAGTGAAGCCCGTGTACGGTCAATCTTCTATCAAAATGACCCTGATCTGGAATGAGCCAGCTCGGTATTCCGACAGAGCATGTCCAAAATGACATACGTCTGAGGTCATTCGGGAACAGCGATACGCGCACATGAGGTCTGCCCTATCAGTGCGGCCTTAAGGCGACTCGTTCGCGTGCTTCGTTTTCGAATGATATTGCCTCCTTGAAATAGCAAACTGGCTGGTTCTGCAGCCTTTCTACCACCAGACCAGGTACGAATAAAAAATGTTGAATAAGTGAGGTACAGAATATTTAAAAGTTTTTGTTTCACACTAGAATCAGTGACAGCGAATTTGTTTGGAAAATATGGTTGAGACAACCAAAATAGCAACCAGATTTCCAGTAACCTTTGCCTTAATCGGCCATCTTGGCGCCAGTAAAAGACGGACTAAATGCTATGAATGCTGACATCTCTTCCACAGTGCATATCTCAGGCTCTCACGGGTTGCATTTGCATATTCATGTAGAGTTTCTCAAATGATGATACTCCACTCAATTAATTTTCAATGATGCAGTCATTGGCCTTACGCTTCTTCCGTCCATGGCGACTGTTTCTCTGTGCTTCCATGGCAACGTATGAGTAATTATCGTACGCCGACGGGGACGGCGGTGGCTGATAGTCGTAGCCCACCCCGTCGTCTCGCTCGTTCTCCTCCTTCACGAGATCGGACGAGTCGTCCTCGTCCACGATGCAGCGGAGCTCGGAAGCGCGACCCTTGAGCTGGAGGCGCTCGGCGGCTGCGTCTTGGCGGCGCTGTTCGCGCAACTCGGCCAGCTCCACCCGTGCCTTGCGCAGCTCTCGGCGCGTGCCACGCACCAGGACGTAGAGGATAAGGAGCATCATGCACAGGGCCAGCACGGCGAAGGTGACGAAGCCGATGATCATGCCGGTCTGGAAGCTGTCTAGCCCGTCGGCGTGCTCTTGGGACTTGCGGGAGGAAGAGCCCTGGGTGTGGAGCGGCTGTTGAGGTATTCCAGGCAACTCTAGCATCGCTGGGGTCGCAGGGGTCACTGACGGTGCGTTTATGCAAATGAATACCACGAAGGTGGAGAGAGAATGTGCGTACAAGTTCGTCACCCGTAGAGATGTCATGTTGGATTCTGGTTGATTGCCTACTGGAAGATGCTTAGTGGGCAACTTCAAGTTGTACGAGTTACCTGCAAAAGAGGTTTAAAAAAAATTCAATTTTCAACACATGCCAAGCCATACGAAAACTAATATGCTCACGAAGTCTTTCTAAAATGATAAAGTGTAGAATGAGCTGTGGTTTAATTCGACAACCAGAATTAGACGCCATTACTGTGGTGGCACAACGCTCGTGGACAGGTGGTACGCGCGCGTTGCATGCCTCTTCAACCAATAGGGTGTCGTAATTTGCCACATGCACGCGCGCGTCAAGCTGAAGAATGCGCGCGTCTGTGCAGAAGCCAGCACGTCAATTAGACCACAGAGGAAGGGACAAACGTTCTTCACAGCTTCAGTGGTGTTGGAAGTGTCTTAGGCTGCATCCGAATCTCTTGTCTAGAGCTAGGTCTAGGTCTTCACTCCATTAGAAATGCGTGGAGACGCGTAGACAATAGACCTAGCCGTAGCTCTGGAACCCCGTTTCGGACACGGCCTTAGCTTGAGACTCGTCACAAGCTTTGGCATTGCGGTTCTCGCTGGGTAACTATGAGACGGTAAATATGGTACTCTGACCTACCAGAGAGAAACAAACAACGGTTATTATTGCAATCTCCGTATGTTCCCAAACCAAACTGGTCTTAGCCCGCTGTGTTTATTGACAAGATCACATTGAATACAACTGGTAGGCGGCTTCTGATGCCCCGGATGTTATACAACCGCCAATGCCAGAGGTGTTTTGCTAGTGAGCCACTAGACACCTCCACCGGGACAGTCTGTCAATTTGGAACTATGCCAGTGGCCCATTTGGAACTAGAGAGCCTCTCAAGCAAAATCAAACAGAAAATGGCTCCCGGTCCGGTTGGGCAACATTAACGCCGGATTGGATCGGCAACAGTGGACCGGTCACACACCGCGCGCTGTCAATAACAACCACACGAAAATCGACCCGGGAGGAATCCAAGCAAATTTCCCTCACGATCCAGTAATAATATGCTTCAAACTTGGGATCCCTGCCAATTTGTTGAACTCTCCGGATTGACTCTCGACGGAAAGCAGTCCTAGAAATCCACTGAGATTTCCTTGATGTCGTCGTTGTGACTTAAGTTGAGCACAAAAGCTCGGAAACCAATGAGGCCGGAACGGTGAAAGAAACAATGAAACGTGCAAAGCTATATAACTGCAAGAGGAAAAAAAGCGCGCAAGTGGGACTCCGATATCAAACGGCTAAATTGACCGCTGTTCGTTGCTCGCTTTTTACTGCGCTTCCTGTGAGAAGAAAACCGCTTCCTTCCCAATAGAGGCCTTGGAAGCTGAACTGCTCCCAACGTTTGGGCAACTGGACATTCTACCTGTCTTTTGCTTCGATAGGATGTAGCCGAGTAGGGAAATAAGACTTCCGGAGCGGTCGCATGGTGTCTCACTTTGCGACACCCGACGACCTCAAGACAACCTTGCTGACTCTCTGTTCTAAGAATTAACAGTGCCACGTGTCAAGTTGCTTATGGACACGTACGGGATGTCTAGATGGAGTGTCTACGTGGAACGTCTGCGATTTCACCCCTTTAGCAATCCCATCTTAATATTCCCCCAAGCTCCGAGAGTCGTTCACGATGGATTCAGAAATAGCCAGGGGCACACGAAGGGTAATCGAGCCCGGACAAGCCAAATTGATCACCGACGAGATCATTCGTTCATCGTCCGTCCCCTTGTAACTTGCCACTTCCTGCGATAATACGATTGCTTATTTTTCTCCTCTGCTCCGGATGTGTGGCTAACTTCGGGCAATGCTCAAGTCTAATGTGATTGAAGGATTGTAATGACTGGCGACACGCAGAATTATGTCGGGTGAAAACCCTGTTTCGGTATGGTACAAATGCCTTGATGGTTTGACAAGATGCAACACCGTGAGGAAGAGTCCTCAGACTCCGATCGTGGAGAATTTTTTTTATTTCAACTGATAAACTGAACATGGTTCATGATCTCGACGTTCCATCGACGCGCCAAAACCTGATGCTGCGATGAGCCAACTCTAAGCCGATGTCAGGTTGCCACGTGGGATAAAGCGTGCACGTACGTGTCCCCGTAACCATGCAGTCAACTTGTCTGGTGCGCCAACGAGGTAAAAAGATAAACAGGACGCAGGATCACTCCGATCCAGAATCAGCTCCGGACAAGGCTGAGCGTAGAGTGTCGCTTATCCCCAGGGGTGAGGGCTCGGCGAAAAGTGGATGCAAATCGAGTTTCTGTGCCATCGTCCCTGTCTGAGTGTTATGAAACAACGCCAGACAGGCTGCATTTATGAGTTTGTCCAATCCACGATCCTCTCTGTCAATTTTATTTTTAAGTTAGCTCTCCGCGTCCACAAGAGATTCGGCGTGGGCACTCCTGCATAATAATATTCCGAGCAAACCATCCACGTTTTAGCCATAGGCTAAGTGCGCGCGGGCAATTTCCCCACCAAAAGCTTGAGCGCGTGAAAGGTTGCCTTTTATCGACTTCATTTTGCTTCTCGTGCGCAGAGGGTAATTTCGACACCTTCCCACTTTACGCCCACCTGGGGGCCGATGATGAGACATAATCCTTGCCTTTTAAAGAGGGTAACGTTTCTGTCAGTTCGCTTAACGCTGACTTAACGTGAGCCAGGGGACACGAGGACTGTCGCGTGATATACGCCACCGCTGTGCCGGTTGAACGTTTCCTACAGTCGTTCGGGATTAATGGTCTTCCATTACAAAGCGATCCTAAACATGTTCAACAAAGATATGGAGTGACATTGGAGTTGCAGCATTAATTGAGAGGAGACAGACGGCCTGAGGGCAAGACTCGTCAGAGACTACTCTCCATACAAACGCTAGGATGAGACAGGTGACATACAGCCCAGAGCAATCAACTAAGGGTCTGGACGCAAGCGACTGACGCCGAGACTAAATGCTTTTTGATTGGGACAGGCCAATGTATACACGCCTGTACGGAAGTTTTCAAAAGTGAACGAAATTAGTTTTTTCACCAGTCGCGAGTCCAATGAGGAAATGAGCCTTTCCGTGCCACACTCCATTTAAAAACAAGTCACTCTCCAATCAGCACGACTACCCATTAACTGTCCTCTTCGTAAACCCGATCTGTTCACAGTAATTGTTGCACGTCGCCGTATGCATTACACATCAGGTTCTTTTCCACGTTGCGTCTCATACCTGCATCGAGTGCCTATATAGCCAAACCGCCTGCGATTATATTTTTCATTCGCATTTTAATGTTATTTCTTTCACCTTTGTTTCGCTCATTGTTGTATTGTGGAAAAGGTTGTTTGCTCAAGCCGAGAGCAAAACATGGTTGCCTCCATTTCCGTGGTCACATTTACCTTCCCTTATATCTTTGTTTATCCTTGTTTATTTCTGTCAGCTATTTTTTCCAGCTCCCGTTAATGGAAAGAAAATACGTCCTGTGCGTGTACGAGCATGGCCCAGCGGCTCGGTTTTCCACCAAGCAACAAACAGAGCACTCGACTGTCAAAATAGAATGAAAGCCTTAAGGCGCTCGCTGTGATTTTATTGCAAAAAAATTCTCTTTGTTTTGATACTAAAGGGTCTTCCTTTTCACCCACGACAAGGTGTGCAAAAGATATGACGGAACTTTTGTTGTAGACCAATCAGATCACCAGACCTATCCAAGACCCATACCATTCTGAGGACTACAACGTTCCGAGGACCAGACCAATCTGAGGACCACAACAATCCGAGGATCAGTCCATTCCAAGAAGGACGAGTTCGAGGACGATTCACCATGCAACTGAACATGTTCCCGAGCTGAAACTCAACGCATAAGCACTCAAACGACAGGTTGAAAAGTGATCATTTGCATTTTCAAGTTCCCAGAATGTAAAAGAACATGGACACTACGAAGGAAAAAGCTTCATCCTGATGTAAGATCACAAACCATAACTGGGTATAAATCTCAGTTAAGACTTAAAGCTTTACTTGACTGGCAATATGTAGTGTAAATCGACAAGCAGACTGGACCTTAATTCCCAGGAAATATATATAAATACGGCAGGCGCATGCGCGTTGATACAACTGGTTGGCAAAGTGGCTTAAATCAATGACGTAACAATACAAATCTCCATGCGCGCGCAACCATAAGTCCATACACGCCATTTCTGTACTAATTAGGTTTGACACAATATATATGTATAGCTCTATAGTTTGACATGAGTACTAAGGTTAAAGACAACGGATTGTTACTTTCCAACCTCAGGACACCGGCGACTTCATCTACTTTCGAGAAAAGCGTACTGAAATATCGAAAAAGGGATGTAAAAACTGTCTTGATTGACCTTCAACGCGCAAGGTTCAGCAGCTCCACTAGACTGCCGACAGTAACGGTTGTGCTTGCCAACCAGGGGCATTAGTACGCATGCGCCTGTCTAATCTGCATAATCTGCAAGCAGATTCAGTGAAGTTCAGTTCAGATTCAGTGAACTGAATCTGCTTTCCCTGAAGAAGGTACTCAGTTACCAAAAGCTCGGCAATCACATATTCCAGAGAACTGATCTTATATTATATTCTTGTCAATATTCTGATCACGGTGCTACGCAGCCCTTCCATAATAAAGCCTGTGCAGTGGATCGGCGGCACGCGCGCGTTACATGCCTCATCGACAAATCGGATGTCGTGATTTGTCAAATGCAACGCGCGCGTCAATCTGAGGAATATGCGTGTGAGTGCGGTGAAACGGCAATTATGGTGTCTAATCGGGTTTGTCCATCCGGTTCGTAAGTGGCTTCGTCGTACACACGGACGCGCCACGATTTGCAGGCTCCCATTGGACGATTGCTGAAGCTGCGCGTTAACTTCCGGTTTCATGGTTCCATGTAAACGGCGATCAATGCATGTAACCCTATGCGTAGTAGTGCATGTGCCGTGGGCGTGGTTTAAACTGAAGTGACGTCACACTTACGAACCGGACAGCCAGATCCGATGAGACACCGTTCCTGCGGGCCATTTACACTCCCGCAACTGTCCCAACCTGATCGCGG